TGAAATGCGTAGGAACGAAATACCGGCTTTCCGCCTGTATTTTAGATTTTGACCTATACAAACCGCTCCAAAACCCTCCAAAAATTTTGAAAAGTAGTTTTTCATAGGTTTTTCGATGTGCTCTTGCATTTGAACGCATCAAAAATATTTGACCGCAAAAAGGTTTTCAATCGTAAACTCTGGTTTTCTAGAAAACTCAGTCTTCCATGGCCTAGCAGCAAAAATCATTGTGAATCACCTTATAATACATTTCGGTTTTTATACTGATCCTTTAATTTAATTTACTGATTTTTAAATATATCAGTAAATCGAATTATCTTAATAACTGACCATGTAAGTAATTTACTGATCATTCATTTATTCTACTGATTTATTCTACTGCCTATTGATTTTACGAAACATAGTCATTAATTATCACGTTTAGGTTGTATTCGAGCATCAACAAGTTCAGAAATTCAATTACGCGAAAATAATGGCATTACATCGACTATTGAATTTACAGCGAATAATATAGCGAATAAATTATTGGTACGTTCGAAATCCGCTGATCCAAAACGATTAAAAAGTCGAAGTAATATCACAACTACTGGTATGAATAAATATATAATGGACCTTTTTATCTGAGATAAAAATTGTTTTTTATTAACAAATAGCAGTAGAATCTGCAGATGACGACAGTCAACAACATCAAAAGAAACGTGATTCAACAACGTCATTTGTCACACAATCAACGCAAGATTCTTCAATTAAACAGCAACAATCAAAATCAAAAACATCGTCAAAATCACTATTAAATCACATACAATTCAGATGTGAGAGTGATCAAACAATATTTAAAGTTTACAAAGGGGTCAAAACATTCGATATATCAGTGGAAAAAAATGTGCTTGTCACTGGCGGTAACAAATCTATTTTTTCTCTATAACTTTTCGATGCACAACTCTATGATTTTGAGTTTAATGTTTAGGAATGGATCGTGTTTTAAGAATCTGGAATCCATACGTACCGGCTAGACCAATTGCACGTCTAAGAGGGCATACAGCACCAATATTTTATATCAAAATAGCTGTCGATGATAACAGAGTATTTTCTGTATCAACTGACAAAAGTGTTCTGGTGAGTAATAAGTACATTTAAAAAATTATCTAACGCATGAGTATTGTTCAGAACAAATTACAGATCAACTATGAAGATGAAGAAAGAGTTTCGTTCTTTAACTTGAAACTTCATAGAGTTATAAAGAATGGATATAGAGTGTGAGTTATCGTTAAAATAAAATTGGGCTTAGTCCCATACAATCCGTTTGGTGATAATAAAATGCAGAATAAACACTCTATCACCAAAATTATATAAAAGAAACTAAATGCAAGAAAAAACGTATGCATAAACAACAGATGCACGCACTTTTGTACAAAAAAGACTGACTGTTAATAAATATCACTTGGATTTTTTTTGGATTAAAACTTCTTTTGATAAGTAGAAAAATACAACAGCGTCTCTGTATACAACATACATGTAACAACATTAAAGTGTAAAAAAATCGCGAAAAAATTAACTAACTGAACCGGTTTCAAAAAGAGAAACATGTTATTGCACAGAGAAACAGAAAAAGAATATAACGGAAAGAGCAAGACAAGATAGTTTTCTATCACAGCATAATCCGTATGTACAAGATAAAAAAGGTAGATAAAACAACGAATTTATTACCTCTTTTGTTTTTTTGCACAATTTTAGCAGCTTATTACGTTTTATAAAACGTAATAAGCTGCTAAAATTATGCAAAGTTCTATATTTCTAAAAGTCCTGCCATTAAGTAAGGATAATCTTTCTTTTTTGTAAAAAAATAGTTGTATTCTTAGGTTTTTTCTTAGGAACTGGTGTGTTATACTCTAAGTTCTTTTTTAATGGTCCAAGTGGTGGTGGATTGTCTGGAATAGCGTTTAAAAATGTTGGAATAGTTTTTATTGTGTAATTATAAAATTTTGATATCCAATCGATTGCAAATTTATCTGTTCTTAATTTTCCTTCTCGCGTATATAGACGAGTTGCATACAGCCAAGCGAGATCAGTCCAATAGGAATGAAGTTTCATGTTTATCCATGAGTAACCTTTTTCCAGTGGTGCATTCCACTTATTTATACCGTATTCAGTATTTAAATATTCAATAGGATCACATGGCACCGAAAAACGATAACCGAATAAATCCCCAGAGCATAATTCGGGTAATAATGGTAGCTTACGTCTAAAATGAGACAGAAAATAAGAGTATGGATAGTAATATAGGTAATTGTAGAGTCTTAAACAGCTTGACGAGCACTTTTGTAAAAATCACTCACTAGTTATCTATATTCCTTCGGATAACATTATATATTAGATACCTGAACTTTGTTCGATGAACTTGGTAGCCACACCATCGAGAATTATTCTCTTTGTAAGCCCAAAACAAATCTAATGTAAAGCGACCAGTATATAAACGAAATTCTAAGGAATCATTGATCTAGAAATAATTGCATCGATTTGATATCAATAGCAGTTAAAGTATAACAGGCAATATAGAATGAAAAATGTTATCTGATCAAAAAATATTTTTAGCAACGAATTAAAAAATATTTTTCTCAAGCGGATGAGTGCGTATCTTTAGCATTAAGATTCTCAGATGTCTAGACTATTGAGAGAACTTTTTCCTTGTCCGGCTGTTCTGAAGTTTTTTCACTTATTATTTCTGTTTTACGCTATTATAAGAGGACAAACAATAAAATTCTTAATTTTCATTAATTAATTACAATTGATTAATTTGCTTCTTTAATAAACTAGGATTGTAATAAATAAACTCATCTTCTTTAAATTTAGTATCTGTTTACACTTGGACAGATTCCTCAGTAAACAAGGAAACGCAACGTAAAAGTAAAATTTGGTCTAGTTTTAGCGGTAGTGAGATCGATACACTAACATCTCTGCGTAGAATGTATGTTATTACACGCACTGGAAAAAGTACGCATTACACTTACCAGTCCCAACGCACCCCACAGATATGAAATTTTGTTGCCAAGAAAATAATTACGTATATCCTCACTATATTCTTCTGCGTACAATCCAAAATCGGCATCTTGTGTAAACGGGATTAGTCCACAATGTCGATACCATCCTGAAATGATTAGAACTACTCAGTTAAACGTACAATCTTCAATGTTAGAAATTTACCTAATAAGGTTCCACCCGCAAGCCAATAATGTTTTTCTAAATCATCCAAACCTTTTCCGATTCCACGCATTGGAATTACAGTTAGATTTAGTTGACTATCATTCTGATATAATTTATATTTATTTTCCATGATCGATGCTAATTCTGTATTACATTCTAGAAATTTTGATGTACCATACAGCCACAGAAAATGTGAAATGTTTTTTGGATAAAAGTACTGAATGTTATTCATTTCATTTTTCATAATTTGTGTCTCAGTTCTAAAATATTAACATGTATTCAAGTCAGTTAGATGAGGGAATAATACATGAAATAATACGGTTAAAGACACTCTAGATTGCGGAATCAAACACGTTTTAAACGTTCATAATGCTAGTTAAGAACGAATTTATAGAAGATTTTCAAGAGATAGTAGACACTCTATCACCTGATATTGGCCTCATATATGCTTAGACCTTTAATAGAACGACATGGCTTAGTGGTTATGTTGTTCGTCATGTACTTTAAACGTACTGTATTCGGATCTAGGCGCTGAAGAGTCATGTAGTGACTTTGAGCAAGTTACTTATGTGTTAATATCTTGTATTACTCGTCCGACAGCATACTCACTACGTATGCTAGCTCATTTGGCTAGTTCGCGCAGCTTTCTTGAAAGCTAGGACGTGATTAGTGAGTGTGTATGGTGAGTACAAGTAATTCAGCGAAAAGAACTCTACGTCTGGCTAGCCTTCTGTTCACAGCTGCGCTAAATGACTAGTGACGAGATGAGTGATCATGTCAGAAGTTTGCAACTGCAGGGAAGATATCGGGCTATTGAAACTAGAGATAGGCAGAGCAACTGATTTTGTACCCTGAGCCCTGACCTATAAAAATTTTCACAATCTGGACCTGTCCTGCCCTTGCTTCAGTGCTCGTGTCCTGTGCTACCCTATGAAATTTCGCGAATCATGTGTACTTTCCAGTGTGGCATGTAGTTTATTAAATTCTACCAGAAACACATGTATAAAAGTATTGTGCTTTATTGATCGTTGGTAACAAAATTGTTTTAGAAAAAGATCTATGCTCTGTACTGCACTACGAATCTTGAGGCAGAGTAAGGTCGACCTGTACACATCTGCCTCAACAATGGTAGTTTCAATTTAAAACTGCCATTCGGCAGCGCCCTACACTGGTAACCGTAGTCGGGGTATTCTGCTTCGTTTAATAATACAATATAAACTTACCGATCAATAGCTCTCACTGTATCACCAAACGTCAGTGTCCAACCATTTGGTGTATATTCTATATTTTCTCTAATTAAATAATAAAATTTTTGTTCATGTAAAACACATATTTGTATAATTTTTTGATTATATTCAATAAAAATATGATCGATGTCTGTCAAGTTGGTTTTTGCACTTGATGAATAAGTAACGTTAAATACTTTTCGCGAAGCGCTTTTATCTAATAACTAAAATATCAACTATAAAAAACATTTACCATTCGAATACCACAAAATGTTGTTGATAGAAATATAAATAAGAGATAATGTACCTTTTTAAGTTGTTCAGCCGTTGAATCCCTAATAGCAAATGTTAATGATTTTGCGTCATATTGATTCAAATCAGAACTACTTTCTAATATGGCATCCAATGCGTGAATGTCAATTAATAACAAATCTACTTTGAATTTAATTACGTTATGAAGAATATAATAAAAATCAGAGTTTTCCGTTACACTGAAGCAAAAACGCTAAAAGAAATAGTGAAATTGTTGATAGAAACATGATGAATTCACTTCAGTCGGTAAGAAACTACTTACTTTGGTTTTTACTGTTGGCCACCAAATACTGCTAATTGTGAACCATGTCAATATATACACAACTAGACATATAGCAATAAAGAATTTCTTTCGAATAAGAAAACGAAGAAACCCCATCGAAGGATTAATATCGAAAATCTACTCTAGAATACGGTGCTCGTTGAACTTTTAAAACTCAAAGTTCATCTAGCGTTTAAATATGATCGAAAAAGATATAGTTCAATTCAGTTGTCGTTTATAATTTTGATTTGAATATGGAAGTTTTGTTTTTCTCTTGTTGTTCATGTGTATAGAAAGAGAGAGAAAGATAATAATCACATCAATGAAAATTGAGTTAGCGAAACAATAGCTGTTGTAATAATAGCAATCCAACAACAACTTATGAGCGAGTTTCAAAACGAAATTATTGAATAACGATCGTATAGTTGTATGATAATAAGCCCTGAAAGAGGAACAAAAAAATATATAGAAGAATAGAGTAGATACAATGAGCAAGATGTGGTTGGCGCGAGCAAGCGAAAGCTTTTTCTTGTTCTTGCCTTTTCTTTTTTGAAGGGTCTTATCTATTATCTAAGATTTTCTCCTTTAAATAGTTCTGTGGAGAAATCTCCTCTCTTCTCCCACTGGATGATGTCTACTTTTTAAAATTCTTCCCTCAACATAAACTTTTATCAAATTCTAGATTATATACCTACAAATGTTCAAACCTATACGAAGAATATGTTAGAAATTATTTTTGTTAACGCCTATATTACTAGTTCTTTTTCTTACTTTTGTATGTGCCGAGCATTTTTTTTTAACTAAAAGAAATATCTAAAAACGAAAACTGGGAATGTGAAAGAATAAGGAAGAGCGGATTATGTGTGCTTATATATATGTGTATTCTGCTTCTATTTTTAGATATATTCTAAGAGTGGAAAATCGTGAGCAAAAAAGAAAACACAACAATCCGTAGAAACGAAAAAAAATTTTTTTAGAAAGAGTAATTTTATGATATTTCTGTCTAGATGTTTTTCTTTGTGAGAGTAATAACAGAAAAAAACGTATCTGTCATGAAATTAACGGATATATTAAATTTGTTTGTCTGTATTTGATAAAAAAGACGCGTTTTTTTCCTTAGTCCAATACTTACTGGATCTCTAAAAACGCGAACTGTCAAGTTAAGTCAAATTAATTTTATTTAGCTGATATAGCTAGGATACTACAAAAAAAAGTAAATACTTATTAATATGCAGCACCATGAGAAAGAGAGAGAGTAGAGAACAAAAGACAAAAAAAGAAAAAAAAAACGAATGAAGCAACAAGAAAAAAACAGGTACAACTTAGTCACGATCAATGCTAAGTACGACAACTATATACAAATATTAAGCATAAACAATAACCGGGCAAACACTAAAAATACATGTTCTATAGGAAATTAAGGTGCTTTCTAACAGGTGTTTTGAAGGACTGAAAATGGCAATAAGAGGCAACATTACGTGGGAAGCTGTTTAAGTTTTTATATGTGGGTCTCAAAAACCAAGAATTTGTATCAGCGAAAGTAGAAGATGGTTATCTAACCTAAAATGGTTATCTCGCCATTCCAAAACCCGAGTAGTGAGTGATTCGATTAAATTGAAACTTGAAAGGGCGCATCTATCCGTCATGATTTTATGCAGAGATATGTTAGACAAAAGTATTTTCTTCTTTGGCTCAAATCGGGGAGGTCTAGTCATTGAAGACGAATATTACTGTCAGAATCGTAATCATTTAAAATATTCCTACGACAGAGATGAGCTATAAATAAATATATACACCTTTTTCTTATCATTTTGGATCGTCTATATTTGAACTGTCTGATCAAACGAAAAAACTTTTCAATCAATCAGTTTTGAAGCATAACTTATAGTAAAAGCTTTGTCTCGTTTCTTACAGATAATTGTTTATAATACGAACTAATTAGACTTTGTTTTCAATTACTATATTTTTGATTGAAACGAGTTTATTATGTGAAAAAAAGGTACGAGTTTATGGACTGAATGGAGTGAGACCAGATATGTTTTGAAACCATAACCGTCTTGCATGTGAATGGAAAAGACATAAGTCTTATTCTTAAAGACATAGAAATCTCGTATTTCTACGTCGTTTTTAACAGACCGAAATCCTACCATTCCCCAAGGATTATAAAAATTCTACAGAAAATGGACTGTTAAAATTTGTTGTTTTGTCGTCTATTTGTGACAACGAAAACTAACAGTTGCCGATAAAAATTGCTGACAAACGTTTTCACTGATCGAAAATGCACCATTACACATGCAAGACAACGTACTATTGTTTACATCCTAAAAATCGACCAAAAAACAGATAAATTGAAGATTTTTTGTATAAATTGCAAAAAAATCTATTCTCTAAATTCAGTTCCATTTCAAATCGAAATTGATTGATCGGTACCAGTTCTGATTTTCTACTATGGTTCTATTTCTAAAGTGGATATATAGAAAAAGTATTCTATAAACTTTTTTTACTGAGTGCTATTAATAAGATCTTTCTGTCATCTTCGTTGTTTTTTTTTTTGTTCTTTTTTTTATTCTAACCATTGTGCTAGTTCTGGCTTCTATACGTTAGAGAAAAGAAAATTTTTTGACTGATTTATCTTTGTTGTCACGCATACACATCTTTATTTAAACATTCTCGGCTTTGTCTCTCTTCAGTTCAGTAGATAGATATGCAGTATATATATGTATATATACATGCACACACACACACACACACACACACACACACACACACACACACACACACACACACATACATACTAAAATAAAAAACGAAAACCTTAGATTAAACAAGAAATAATCACTAAATATTTATAACCTACATACGGTAGATTCTCATGAGTAGAAAAAATGTTTACGATTAGTTGCAATATGCATGAATATCGAAAAAGCAACCTGTGAGTCAGTTAATGATTATATATGCAGATATGTTTAAATGTCAGTTATTAATATTTTTTCCTTTTTCCAGAAAATTTAGTTTTCTTCGCCATGCCTTCTCTCTAAACGGATAGTTCATTTCCATTCATGGATAAAAGAATCTAATCTCTTCTATTTGTGTAAGTGAATAAATTAACATTTGATGTGCAAAATACACACATGACGATGATGATGCATAGAATATAGAAGATAATCATCTGTGATTTTTTTTCCCCCTTATTTCTATATCCAAAAAATGTGTTCATACTTGATTTTTATTTTCTTGTCTTTCTTCTTTTTTATTTTTTTTTTGTCAAATTTTTTTTTCTTCTTTTCTCAGAATAATAAAGTCATCATCATATGGCACTCGGCATAAAACGAATTTTCTTAATATAGAGTAGAGATATATCGTCTGAGTGTTTCAAATAAAATTATTAGGCTAATTTAATTTAAACTATTCACTCTCATATATCAGTTCACTTACATCAGTCAGTTGAAGATTAACACAAACAAAGATCAACATTGCGTGACAAAATTTTCATTTCCCGAATTTTTAGTCTTATTCCCCATACTTGGATCTATTTGTTGTTCTGTTGAAGGAATTACACAATATTTTTTCTTAGTACTTCATCATTCAAATGTTAGTAAATAAAAATAATCTATTCACGGATGCTGAACTAAACACTAATTTTGTGTAAATATTTGAAGATGAATAAAATAGTAGTTCTCAATTTTCGTCTATGAGCTGATCTCAATTTTGCTAGAAACCTCAAAAAATTGTCTTTATGTACTAAATGTGCATATTTTATTCAAAATTAAACTAAATTACTTAGAACATGATTAAATTATATAAGATACCTTTAACCATTATATTAAGAAAAGTCATTCATTGTTATTGTGATTTAGCTAAAAGAACAAATCCTTGAGAGAAAAGTAGAGATTTTCAATTACCGAATATTAGTATCAAATAAAATGAACAAAATTGACTGAATTCTAATATATCCGATGACTAAGATTGCTTTTGAACGAAATATACACATTTTATGCTTCAAGATAAATAGCCAAAATTTTCTAGTTTTTTTTAACAAGTTTGATCAATCAATCATTTGATGCAAGATTTATGAAACTTTTCTGAATTTATAAAATACTTTTGTAATAGAATTCTCATTAGAAGTTTTTTTTAAAATTTTAATAGTATAGACACGTGCTCATGACAAATGGAAGGAAAATGAAATGTTTATTAATTCATTATTTGGAATTGACATTGGTATGTATCCTTACCTTCAACCTTGAGGTTCATCGATACAGAAAACTGATTTTTCAAGGTAATAATAGGTGTGGCCAAAGTTCTACATTAATTTCGTTTTGATATAGCGTTGCAATGGAATATTGTTGAAATCATTTCTACAATATGCTATGACAATAGTCTTGTTATTCGTTTTATTCCAAGTTTTATAATGTAAGGATAGGGCATTATTATTGCTGCACAAAAAAGAAATTTTTCTTTGTGTTCGGTCGAAATGACCACTTTTATAGTGCTCTATCTTATCACCGATTTTACATCACTGTCAATCATAGTCGAAAAAAGAAATTCTACGCCCAGAGGGAAGTTGCTAAAAACTATATATTTAACATGAAAAAGAAAGCGTATTGAGTCCTCTATCAAACGATATTATTTGGAATAGGATGGACATAGCTGCTCGGTGAGATATTAGAACAAAAACTTGTTTTCGCGTTGTAAACGTCAAATTGAGTCTTTTTAATCAAAGGGTCTTCTGTTCAGTCTCTTGTAATTAATGTTAACTTTTTTAATATCGAATACGAAAGCCTTCATTGTAATGAACAATTTCATATACATGATGCTTGAAAAATGAAAAAAGTTAAACAAATATATTTGGATAAAAAAAATTGTGACCGAAGTTGCAGAACATTTCTGATCAAACACTTTTATATATTTTTGTACTAGATATTTTGCTCGTTCTAATAAAAAAAGGATAAAGAATCTCCTACACTATTTCATCGAAATACTATATCAAAAACAAAATTAATACAGAACTTTTGTTCTACTCGTTCGTCTTAAATCGAATATTCTTTAAGAACTCATTTTTTTTCTTTTTTTTCTTTTTTAAAATTCTTCAAATTGAACAGGTTTACTTTTTTAAAAAGTTCAACTTTTCTGTTCTTAAATCTAATCGATTATATTCCTATTCGCTTACCGTTAATATTATTGAACTCCAACAACCATTTGTTATATTATGTTTATGTCTCTTAATCTGGATCAATGTACTTATACTTTAAGATGCAACCATTATAGAATAGAAATGAAGAAGAGTAAAAAGAGCAGAGAAAAATAAAAATAACATATCGTAGAGAATAATGTGTTGAATGTGTACGTTTTACCTGCATGATAATCATACAGAGAAAGACGACACGGATGCAGAACATAAAATAAAGTACATTAGACACGCTATGAGTACATTTAGTACACATTATACAGCAAACAGTTTTTAAACAAAGAATATGTCAAACTGTTGTTTTGTTTTTTGTTAATAAAAGAGCTAAAAGGAAACTATTAATTACATAGTACGTACAAATAACAGAGATGAGCTATAAATAAATATATACACCTTTTTCTTATCATTTTGGATCGTCTACATTTGAACTGTCTGATCAAACGAAAAAACTTTTCAATCAATCAGTTTTGAAGCATAACTTATAGTAAAAGCTTTGTCTCGTTTCTTACAGATAATTATTTATAATATGAACTAATTAGACTTTGTTTTCAATTACTATATTTTTGATTGAAACGAGTTTATTATGTGAAAAAAATAAAAAAGAAGTAATTAATTGATTTTTTTGTTTCAGGTACATGATTTGACTGAACATACACGTTTAGCTAGTATAAGACCAAAATCACATAAAGTTCGAGGCGATTTACAAGCAGCATGTTATAATCCATTTACACGATGTATTCTATTTGCAACAGAACAAATATCTCTACTTAGTTTAAAATTAAAGTAAGAAAAAAATAATCATTTTCTCAAGTAATATGACATATTATCTTTATTGTTTATAGACCTATTTTAAAAGCCGATATTGTAGTATCACATTATGAACAAATATTAGGTATTCTATTTTGTACAGAATTCAAACAAGTTATATCATGTACAGAAAGTGGAGTGGTGAGATTATGGGATTTTTTGACAGGACGTGAAATACATGAATTTCGAACACATAATGGAAATGCTGTCACGTGTATGACACTTGATAATACAGGACGACGTTTGATAACAGGAAGTAGAGATGGCACCTGTTGTGTATGGAATTATCATAATGGACAATGTTTAAAAATTTTAAAAAAGTCAAGTAAGAATAATTTCAAGATTTTTTTTATAAGCAATGTGAATTTGTGTTTCACATAAACAGATTGAAATATTTTATAATAAAAGATAAAGTACACATGACTATTTTATTAATATTATTTGTTCTGATTATTAGATTTAAGTGAAGTTGCTGATGTAACATTTGTTCAAGTGAATAATAACTGTTCGATTATTTCTGTTGGATGGGATAAACGTATTAACGTATTTAAAGATGATAGAGAAAAAATTAAACAGGCATTAGTTTGTGAAGAAGAATGGGATGACGATATATTAAACGGACACGACGAAGATATTTTGTGTATTGCAAAATCTCAGGGTGATCTATTTGCAACCGGTGATTATAGCGGTGAAATTATTATTTGGAACATGTCGTCAAAAAAAGTGTTTTCAAAAATTCGATCAGAAAAAGCTCAATCATTTGTTAATGACGAGAATGGTATATATGATTCATTTGTTTTATAGTCATATGTTAATATAAAATTTTATTTTAGAAACAAATGATCGATTAATTTGTCGAATGACTTTCATTGATGCAAGAACAAATCGTCGAGATGTTGCTAATTTGATTTCTAGTGGTCCCTATGGAATGATTCACTTTTGGTGTGTATACAAAAATGGTGTGTTGATGGCACGATTTAAAGCAGTAGGCATTCTTTTATTCCATACTTTTCCGATTGTTTATCACATTTTATTTTTTTAAATATTTCAGAATAAAGCGATAAGAACAACTGTCACTCAAGTAAAACTAGACGCTGAATGTCGAATGCTATTTGGAGCCGATTCGTTAGGTTAGATGATGCCTTTATTCTCGTTAAACAATTAACTTAGCAATTTTTAACTTTTTAAACTTTTTTTTTCATTCTAAGTAGAATTGTCTAATACGTGTTTTCTTAGGTTTTATTTTTATTTGGGCAATTGAAAATTATGCATTCAATATAGAGAACAAGCCACCTAAATGTAAGTAAGAAGCTTGTATTAGAGAAGCAAGAACAGATATATCTACTTTGTATTAGTTTACTGTTTAAAAATGTTTATACACTCAAACTATGCAAGTTTATCGCTAGTTTTTAGAGACCTAGTATATCGTGTTTGAAACATCTACTTGTATTTTTAGTACTTCGTTCTTGGCGAGCTCATATCGATACTATTACTGGTATTGAATATATTGATCCAAGTAAGTAAGTATTTTATGAAATTCTACATAAATAGTTTTATATGAATTGTTTTTGTTTTTTTTCTAGCCAATGTTCTTATGTCTAGTGCATTAGATGGCACAATTCGTATTTGGAATTTAAAGGGTCATTTTATGGGTATAATTTTTTGTAACACAAAATAATTTTTTATCATCTAATTTAAACTATTATTCTTCAGGCACCTTTGGTCAAACATTACCGTGGAATATTTATGATCCAGCCACATATCAACATCCAAACGCACCATTAGACGTTTTAACTGATCCTCGAAGTTTACCACCTCGTTCAAGATTAAATGACTATAGTGACGAAAGTGGCGATGATAATCTGGAGCAAAAAATAAAAGATGTACCAATGGAAAAGGTACAGTATATCTTGTCATTCTTTTTTAACATATTGGATTTTACTGTTGTTCAGGTATCGATACCACTTTACAAACAAGTCGCGGATGATGTTACAATCGATAAAAATGTCAGAGAGACATTAAACACATTACAAAATCCATCAAATATGGCTGGCAAACGGTATGAGATAATAACTGTCATATTTTAACAGCTAATGTTTACCTTCATCGTAGGCTAAGATATTTTCGTGAAAAACCAGTTGTTCATTCTCGAGCATACGGTTCAAGTTATTTTCAAAACTTACGATTTTATCTCGTTGAAGATAATCCATCAAATACAAATGTTCATTTTGCTGATGTCAAATCTTAATAAATTTTTATGTTTGTATTAACCTTTATTTATTCTCTATAGTCAAAGTACTAGTGAGATTGTGTGTATTTCTTCCTGTGATATTTGATTATGTGAGTTATTTTTTCTTTTCTTCTCTGTAACTTATTCCGCAATATATGCAAAAATAAGCTTTTTTTGATGAATTATTTTTTACTTCTTTTTAAACCGGTTTTATTTGATCTTAATACGATGTTTGAACTTTTTGTGATATATATTTTATATAACTAATCTCATATTTTTTATTCTCATTTTATTTATTTTTATAACTATTTCTTATTTTTATATTTTTATTAACTTAATATGCACAATATTTAAGCATAATAAAGTTTAGAAGCAATGAGATTTTTAAACTAAACAAACACAAACCAAATATGAAAGAAAGAAAGTAAGAAAACAAATTTTATTATATCTTTAAGCAAGAATATTGCTTCATATTAAGGGAATGTGACATAACGTATTGACCAAGAGGAAAAAATGAGAATAAATATGAGAAAATTTGCGAACTACAAGCATGTGGTTAAAATAACATAAGATACCACGAAATCATCTAGCTTTTCTAAACAACAATTTTCTAATTTTGCTCACATTGGTCGTATCTTTATTCATAAAAAATGCGATACAAACAATAAAACAGTTCGTCAATTGTACTACTTTTGGATATTCTCACTTAACAGCTGTATAGCGATTTTAATTAATGATATTTTTTTATCCTAATTATTTATTACAATTATTAAAATATCGTGACTGGATTAGTCAAAAAACTTTCTATATTTTTCATTTACTCACATCACTTGTCTTTCTTCGCCTAGAAAAGTTATGAATTTAACAAAAAGTTGAAGCATTAGGCAATGAGAGCGGCAAAACATGCAAATGGTCAAAACAGAAAGGACTCAATATTTATATAAATTATAAATATCTACAATTCAAAATTTAAGATATTAAATCCATACAGAGACTAAAGAGATTTCAAGAAAAACTAATAGCAATCTAAATCTCCATTTCTGACTAGCTGAATCAGTTATTCCATATCCAAATTCGACTACCCCATGTGTTCTATAAAAATGATTTTTGAATGTAGTTTTTCTCAGTTCTTGTTCTGAAAAATACAAATAATTTTTCTGCAATTTAAATTAAAGACAAATATAGACATTCATTAACTATATTTCATCTTTTATTTTAATCATAGTAAGTAGGGATGTTCGGTTCTCGGTTCCGGAACCAAGAATGGCGATTCTTGAACCGAAACCGCGATTCTCGAGTTAGAACAGAAACGAATGGAACCGCGATTCCGGTTTTGAACTTAGAACAGAATCACGGTTCTCGGTACTCAGCTTAGAACCGGAAAATAATTTTCCAAGCAGTAATAATTCAACGAAATTTATGTTTTTTTCATTTTAATAGTGAACGAAAGGATTCTTTTAAATGATGACAGGCATATATATCTTTTTGTAGCTTTGTCAATAGCGTGTTTTCATTTTGCTAAAAGAAAGGCAAGTTAAAAAGTCTCGATTCCGAAAAAAAGGAACTGTCTAAGAAACCGTGGTTCCGGTTCCATTGTCAGAGCCGGTAGCGCGGTTTCGATTCCCGATGAAGAATCGAAAATCCGAGAACCGCGATTCCGGTTCTTAATCAGAACCGAATATCTCTGATAGTAAGTTCTGACACTGGAAATAAGGTAATACATAACTGTTTTATTTCATTTTCCCATGATTTGTTTTTCTAAACCTCGGTGCAACCATCATGCGCTTCTCGCATTTTTTCAGGAATAATCCACTGCATTTGCAATTTTGAGTTCAGCTTTCGAGTACAAATTTCTCTTTTTGATCTGTACAGTAGGTAAACTGAAGAATGAATCAGAAACTGTCTCAATTATTGTATTTTATAAATAACCTCAAATAAGTATTAAGATCCATTAATTTGAACGAAAAACAAATTGGACACGAATGATATCGGGAATTCTTCGGTTTTTTGCTCCATAAAAACTCAACCTATCAGCAAATTTAACTACTGTGCTGATAACTTTGATTAGAAACAGCATTCTAATGTTTCATCTTCTCATAGTTCGAAACTTTTACATCAATGTTTATTAGACGTTACAGTTGTTACAACAAAAAAAAAACACTCTACTCAACATGAACATTCAAGAGTGGTATCTTTCTCACCGAAAAGTACAAAGTTCTTTCAAAAAGAAATACGAATAACCTAAGAAATACGGAATGAAAAAAAATCACATTTAATATTGTCTATTTTTGTTGTCATTATTGTTTAACTAAGTTGACCACACTCTGTTATGGTTACTTTCTTTGAAGTTTTACCACTTTGTGAACCTAAAGAAACAAAAGACAAAGATGTAGTATATTATTCATGACTGATAACCAAATAAATAACCTTACCATAACCCTCTATTTTTTTAATTATATCGTAACCTTCGCTAACTTCACCAAAGACAACATGTTTACCATCAAGCCTAGAATATGTATTATAAAATAATGCCAGCTATAACAAAAGAGGACATTTAGACGACTAACCAGGATGTAACAGCAGTTGTAATGAAAAATTGACTACCATTCGTATTTTTACCTATAAATTAAGAGATGTATCGAACACATGTATATAGGCGAACAGCTTTCTTCTATTTACCAGCATTAGCCATTGACAATAAACCTTCTTTTGTATGTTTCAACTGAAAATTTTCATCGGCAAATTTTTCACCATAAATACTTTTGCCACCAGTACCATTATGATTTGTAAAATCTCCACCTTGACACATAAATCCTGGTATGACACGATGAAATGATGAACTTTTAAATCCGAATCCCTTTTCACCAGTACAAAGTGCACGAAAATTTTCTAAAATACCAAATATGTTGCAGTTTTATTACGAAATGACTTAAGTTTAATACATACCAGCTGTTTTTGGAACAACGTCATTGTAAAGTGTAAAAGTGACACGACCTAATGGTTGACCATCAGCAGCCATATCGAAATAAACTTTTGAGCGACTCATTTTTTTTTTTTATTGTTTTATCTAATAAAATGTTGGCTAAACGTTGTACGATTAATCTGAAAAGATCATGAATAATGTATATATGAACATCGAACAAAACAGGTAGATAATAGTTGAAATTAAAAAGATAATAAACAAAGTTATTTTACAGAATATTTAATTCTTAATCTAAACAAAATTTATGAGAAAACACACGATTACAATATCTGACAACATTTTACAATATTAATAAAATAAATCAATCAAAAAGAAAAATAAGATATTGAAGATAATATTTGGTGTAAACAAAATAGAGAAAATTCACTATATGCATACATATACATTGAAAACTGACTTACGGACTAGTTGTGGATATTTTTACATTTTAATAAGCAAATTTTGACTTTAATAAAATGAAAATAAATATACGTATATATCAAAGAAGAAAATAAAAAATTTATCAAAATAAAACGTTATTGCTTCAAGAAATCTAATACTTTTTGTGTTCCTAATTGAGTTTCAATTATTTGATTACATTCGAGATCTTGACGTAATTCATTCAACATTTCGGATGAAGTACGTTGTAATTGACAGTGTGGTAAGTAATGACACTAGAAGAGAAGAAAAATAAACTACACTTGAACGTTTGAATTTTGAATAAACGACAAATGTAAATTGTTTAATTTTGTCGAGATAATTTAAAAACATTTTTCTGAATCAAATTTAAAACCTTGAATGGAAAATAGACTACAGTCTCCAATAGTCAGCAAATCTCATTCAATGGTTAGTTGTTTGTTGGCCTCGATAGTACTTAATCATCATCAGGGAAAATTAATCTGTAGTTTTCTCAAAACGTAAAATGATCCGTTTGAATGAAGTTTATGATTTAAAAAAAGTATTTACATACCCGAACAAATATCGGTATACAATTTAGTTCTCTAATAATTATTCGATTTGTTTGATTTTTTGCTAGTGTATGTAATGCTCCAATTATAATATCGAGTGTATGCTCTGTATGATTTAAATTATTCATATGATGTATATCTTCGTGTGATTTTTGTATTTGTTGTCTTTCTTGATCAACAACGGTTAGAAGTTGAACTAATTTTGGTATAGCTCCATTTTCACGTAACGAAGACAAATTACTTGCTGATAATGCCAAATTTTTTATTAGACCAATCGTCGCTTTAACTGTTGGCCAATCTTTTTTCCAATGTTTTATATTTAATAGTTTAACAAAATAAGGTATACCACATAATTTTTTTACACTATCTCTTGCTTCTGCTTCTAGTTCATGACGAGCTGTCACATGTCGTAATGTACATAACTATAAGACAATTGAACATATTTAATATTTTTAATATAATGTTGAATATACATACTGCTGGCTCAATGATTTCTTCCTTTTCACCTGCTTGTAGTATTGTTTTAATCAACGCTTGTATACCATTCATTTTGACCAAATGCATTTTATTTATTTGATTATCACATGTCAAGTTATTCAAAATTCCAACTGAACATGTGATTGAGACAAGATCATCAGTTAATAATAACTGAATCAATGTCTGAATCAATGATTCCATACCTTTCTAGAAGAAAATAATATACGTCTTGTGAAAGATGGAAGTTATAAAGATGACTATTGATTTTCTCTTCTATCGTACATAGGCATGAAATGTACACAATACCATATATTTTTTTTCCTACTCTTACTTGACGTTCAGAGCGAAGGAATCTACCGAAAAATTGATTTATCTGGTATTTTAATGGAAGTGAGAGTGTGAAAAGTACCAGACATTCAATTTATTTTCTTTTTTGGACTCTTGTGTTTTCAGTATTAACTGAAAATCAAGAACTAGTGTATTGTAGAAAACATTCTTGCTGCATCTTACCAATTTGATTGCTTGATCGGATATATTTCTTATTGTCAGAAGACAATTACGTCTTATACGAATACTTTTTGTCTTATTAATTTGTTTTTCCAAAATTTCAATACCATTTGCTAGTAAAATTGTTTTCTTTGTTGATACAGTACCAGATGAGATAATCGGAAATAATTTTGATATTGTCAATAAGAGTTTATCATACCTTGTAGAAACCATTATACGTAACAACTGTTGAGAACACATTTCACTTCCTTGTAAAAAAGTCTGAATATAAACAACAATTATTAAGACATACCACTTAGAAAAAACTTTTTTAGGCTATACTTTCGCTTCTTGATTGTAACATGCCATTTTATGTAAACAATCAGTTAATAATGTTAACAATTTATCATTGGTTCTATTTAATAATGAAACAAATTTTTCAGTTCCGTGAAAACTTTCTATCTCTCGAGCTGCATTTGCTTGTAGAATAATGAGAAAATTATGTAATATTGTAATAACAAAATTAACAATATTATCAGATGAACTAAAGCAAAAGTAAAAATAATTCAAAAAATATTTAAAATGTAATGTAACTAAATACTCACTCCAGGACATGTAAAAGCGCACGAATACCTCCAGCTTCAAGAATTGCTACTAATCCATCTTGTTGTTGTGATAAAAAATGTAACAGACTAGTTAAAGCATAAATTAATTGTCCATCACCCGAATCTTTAGAAAATGCGCGTAATAAAGCAATAATTATCTAAACAAACCATATTTTATTACAGCATTCGTACTCGTTATTGAAACCAAGTTTACCTCTCGATTGCGGATTACGTCTAATCTGATATCTCCTCCTTCTTTAATTAGAGTGTGCACAAACATGACGGCTTCACTAACAATAAGACGATCATCATCATTAAGTAAACTAATCAATTCTGATATCATTTCACCTGGCTCGCGACGCTGACCCATCATCGTAATATTTGGATCAATTTGTGGTTGCTGTTGTTCTGGTATTGGTAATTGTACTGGCGGCTGATGTTGTTGGGGATGACGTTGATGTGGCGTGCATGGTGGTGCAACACTGTGTTGGAAACGTTGTTGTTCGTTATTTGACATTGTTGTTGAAAAAGACTGTTCACTGTCATTACAACCACTCAAAACACTTCTTAACGAATTCGTTGTCCCTGAATGTATACCCGAGTCACGGTTTAATGCATATGGAACATCTAGCCACATTGATGTATGAATTTCTTGATCCAATTGTTGATGTTGTTGTGGCGTGTGCATTTGATGATATTCCATTTTAATATAATTTTTAATCTAACTTGATAACATCGGCTAGTTTTTTACAGTTGAAATAATTTTAGAATAATGCAAAACTATGGTCTATATCATAAACTATTCGAAGAGTAGATTACATTGATGACATTGCATGTATTTACATCTTTGCTGATTATAGGCATGAAATAATCTGATAGAAAAGTAAGAAAAAAAGCTAATTCTTACTGTATAAGCCACGCCCATATAAAAAACAGAATGATAGCTCACATCATTTTTCTTTTTCCTTCTCTCTTTCTTTATGTCTTTGTGTATACGTACTGGTCAAAAGAAAAGTAAATTGTTTATAGACATCCTTGAATGCACTTTCTTTTCTATCTCCTCGAATGACACGATTATGCACTATCAATAAGAATACATCCATGAAACAAATAAAAAGAAAATACTACTAAAAAAGGTATAATTAGAAATATATCCACGAGAAATTTCTTTACCTTGAATTCTACTTGATCTTAGTACAGAAAAGAAGCGTAACTATCTGAGGTCGCCCGAATACGATGTACTGTTGTTTGACAGTTCTACAGGAGAGTAGATGTCCAGTAGAAATTTAGAATTTAAAGCATTTAGAATAAAGACAAGGCTATCGACGACGAAAAACTTAACGGACTAAATATTATATTTCTACGTGCGACTTTCTCCCAACTTTGACCTCTTCAGGACAGCCTTGGTGTAAGTTCTGATGGGAGACGACTTACCGGAGAGCGATACATTGTATTTAAAAACTCACTAGCGTATTGCATCGATAATACGATTAAAGGTTTCATGCACACCGTTTCTGGTTGTGATCCATGGGTTTTAGAGTTAATACGTTGTTTTTAACTATACTGAAGAAACTACTTTGTGTTCAAATAAAAATAACAGAAGCAGTACTATTGTAGAATGAAATGAACAAAATACTTAAAATTCTAACAGAACAAGCAAGATGAGATATATATATATATATATATCAATAATGGTTATTTAGATTGATTTTTATGAAATGTAAGGACGTTTTAAATTGCTAACTAATATGACTCAACAGCACATTGAAAAGTTTCAAACGAATTAACGTCGAAGAGGTAAACATTTTTATCTAAATGCTATCTATATTTCTTTTAGCCATATTCTCTTTAAACTTGCTTCACAGCATGAGTGAGTGATTTTCAAATAGTTTACAAATTCGTTACAAGTGATCGTTAATTACACATCAAGCAAATATTTCTCTAAAATTCAAATAACAACAATGAAGGCTGTAAAACAGCAGTTCTTTAGTTTATTAATACGGCTGGGAATAATACCACATAAAATGCTAGACTAGAAGAAATACAAGCTTTTTAGAGAGAGAAGATGTAAAAAAAAGTATCAACATAGATATAAAAATTCTGTTACAACAACATTTCTGGATGACAGTAATGAATTAATAGACATAAATATATATGTGGATAATAACAAGTTAACTGTAGAAATAAATCTGAATAATAAATAATGTGTCTACTGAAGTACGCCGCAATCTTTAATAACAGCTTTTTTAGATGGTTTTCCACTCTGAGAACCTAAAACGCCATATAATTCATGCAAAATATTACGCAAAAGTTCTTAGATTTCTTACCTAATTGTTCTAATTTTCTAACAACATCCATTCCTTCTGTAACTTCACCGAAAACAACCTTGAAGAAATGAATAGAGAAAGTGAAAGATAAACACCTTCTTTCTCGGATCAACTTACATGTTTACCATCTAACCAAGGAGTAGCCACCGTTGTAATAAAAAACTGAGATCCTAAAACATCAACGTTAATTATAAAGCAAATAGTGACGATTATGTGAATGTTTCACCGTTTGTATTCGGTCCTGCGTTAGCCATTGACAATAAACCTTCTTTTGTATGTTTCAATTGAAAATTTTCATCTGGAAATTTGTTTCCGTAAATACTTTTGCCACCAGTACCATTATGATTTGTAAAATCTCCACCTTGTAACATAAACTGTGGTATTATTCTATGAAATGTTGAATCTTTGTAACCGAATCCTTTTTCACCAGTACAGAGTGCACGAAAGTTCTCTGAAACACACAACAAGATATTCAACCACAAAATAAAATTCACAAAATGCGTATACCTGCTGTTTTGGGTACCACATCATTGTAGAGCTAGACAATAAAGACATATAACGACTGTATTTTAAACATAAAATCAGGTAGCTCAATACTTACTGAAAATGTAATACGTCCAGTTTGAGCACCATCAACACTGACATCGAAAAAACAGTTGATTCGATTTTTACCTTTGCTAAATATTCCTAGTCCTCTTCCTTGAATACAATAAATCTGTAAAGTAGAATAAAATATATCAATAATTCACATATACCCGTAACTTAAACTGAGCAAGAAATCTAATGGTCATGAATTCTACGAAATAAGCTTCAGTTTGTACAAATGATTTTGACTACATACAAGAGATAGAGAGGTGTATGAATTCAACTAGCTTTATCATCTTCTAACTTCTTTAACACAAAAAGAAAAGTGGCAGTATAAATGGAGCGCACCTGTCCGGTTGTGGCTGCTGTTCGTAGAATAGTTCTTGGGAACATATTAATGGATTGAAAAATATATAAACAAAAATCAAATTAATCTACAAGTTAATAATTAAAGATATACAACTGTATAAAAACGATAAACATATCCCATAAAAGAAAGGCAAATACAAGTAAAACCCAAAATGAATTGTTTTCTTATATAATAAGGGAAAAAAGAGGCATGTACAAGTAAACATCCTGACATTAACCTTATCACTATCTGACAACAGAAAAGTTTTCAAGATGAGAACAGTTATATATCTGATATCTAAGTGGAACGGTCTAATATCTTTTCAAAGTAGCTCTAATAAACAAAATTATTATAATCTGTTCAAAATTTCACTAAGCAAAAACAGAAGATTAACTAATATATTTGATTATTTAAAAACGTATTTACAAAATACAAAAAAACAAGAGTCGATGTGTATCGAGATGTGCACACAAATTTTACTTCATCTGACAAAAAAAATGGGAATAAATGGCTCATAAATTTGAGCCTAGTGCGAGAATCTATGTTGTATGATGAATAAATAAAAAAAAAAGTAGAAGATTTCTATTCTATATGCAAAAGCAAATATATGAGAATTTATAAGTCTGTATCAAACCAAGCAGCCATCTGCGGCGGAGCAGGGCGATGACCATCATTTTGTGTGTTAATTGAAGACATTGGAGATGGTTGTATTTCTCGATCACTACCGATACCAAGACCAGCTTCAGTTGAATAATAATTCATAACGGGAACTTCATGAATTTGCTGTTGTTGCATTGGGGGCGGTGTATTACGATAACCATTCGAATATACTGATCCATTTATTATACCATTCTGACCATAATGCTGAAAAAAGAGAGCATATTCTTTTTGTCTCTCATTATTCAATATCAATAAAATACTCACATTATTCAACATCTGATCATCTCGATATAAGGCTGATGTTACATCATTCGATAAACGCTTTTTCATGTCATTCGGTTTATCTTCAGATAATCGAAATAATATTGCAGCTGCATAGGTTGCTTAAAAAAATGAACAAGTAAAAGCATGTCAGTAATAGTCATTACTTAAAAGACAGGCTTGACGTATTTAAGGGTACTCATCCCCTCATTTTGGGCTTTTCGTAGAAATGTTGTGAAATAAAAACTAAAACTCACTAAGGCTTCGTATTTTCAGAATTGATTGAAATCTCAGTGGCGCACTTTTTCGTTTTTGTTTCAAGTTTTTAACTATTGTCGTTCGCCAGCTCTCCGAAAAACTCGTGTTTTCATTTGACCACATTACCACCCCCTTAAATTTCTTCCGATCGAGTTAAAAATTTTATCAGAGGTACTCAAGGTCGTAGCGCAGAGGTATAACTGGAATTTTGTTTTAGACCTTTCTTTACCAAGTAACAGGATTTCTAAAATGGGCTCTTGAAAGTTTTTCGGTATTTTTCCTATAACTCTCGGTA